AAAAGAAGCCCTATTCATTGTGCTCCAATTTCTCGCGTCGAGACGGAGTTACCGGACAACGAGGGTAATTTAGCACGCGCTGTCGTAATAATAGGCCTTCCCAGCCGGGTGGAGGACAAAGGGGGATTAAGAATCGGGGACGTTTTATGACTCGTGCGTGCGTGCGTGTGTGTGTGTGTGTGTGTGTGTGGGGTGTGTGTGTGTGTGTGTGTGCGTGTATGAGCGAGCGGAGGAAGAAGAAAAAGTAGAAGACGTTCAGGAAGGAAAATGAGACTGGCGTTACACACCGAGACTCGCGATGAAATTCACCGTTGAAGCACACATCCTACGGACGGGATTCTTTCCGTACGGTTTAATCGCGGCGAGACGGTTTTCTCGCCGACGACGAGAGTGTCGATATCGCGGAGTCGCGGGGGCTCCCCCCTCGCGGTTGTTCCGTCTGGGCAACGCACACGCGGATGGCGGCGACACTCACCTGCACTCGCGGGTCCACTGCATCGTCGACGCGATCGGAATCATCGGCACTCTCCTTCTGCATACGTCCGCTCATAATTAAATCTAGAGGGTGGATTTTATTTACAGCTCTCCCATGCCACCTGTGTGTATCGTCTGCTAGACATCAGGTGGCCATGTTGGACGTCAAAACGTATCACCGCGGCGAGCAGGGCCGTCTCCACACTGCGTGCTCGAACGGGGAAGCATGCGCCTTCCTCCTCGCGGTAGAGCTCTGTAGAACTCCCACGGACCTGGAAATGTCATCTGAGGTTGCGCGATAACGATTCGAGACCGGACATGCAAATTTACTGCATCGGATTGAAGATTGAATCATTGAATTTATGATTATAGTATAAGGTTGTTCTATTATCTATTAATACTCTTAATATAAGATTCAAATACAATAGTTTATTAAATTTTACAAAGTTGTAAAAGTTGAGGCAAAAGTTAATAGTAAATAAAAGGAGCATATTTTATACTATTATATATATGCATAGGAAAAATACTTGTTTAACAGATTATTTGTACAAAGACCTCGTATTTAACTTTTTTGCTTCTTCCATTTATTATTAATTAAGTATTTTAATAAACCTTATAGTAATATTTAAAGCTTTATTGCAGATATTATTAACAAGCACACTTTTTTATATATTAATACGTGCGTAATCGTATTTTTATATTTCTTGCTTTAAGCATTTTCGAAATTTTGAAGACGCGGCTAAACGAGGAAATTATTTTATTGCTTATTCAACGAATAATAAACTATTAAATATTCAATCTAATATTTCTAAATATTCCTTTTTAATTCAAATATTCTGTCTAGATTTCTCGCGCGCATTTGACTTTTCCCGCCATGGCACCGTGGCCAACATGGCGTTGGGGACAATTCAAGATGGCGGGCGCGAGGAGTATTCCGGTAGGCGGCGTGGCGCGCGCCGATCCCGCCTGGCTCTCAAATGTATATTTCCCCCTTCGCACTTTGCGGCGCTTCGCAGTTTGCACTCTTCGCACTGGTGAGTCGCGTGCCCGTCCGAGCAGGTGGATTACAGTTCTCCGTGGAAAGCGGCGACGTGCCCGACCAAAGAACGTCGGTCGCTGAGCAACACAACGATCCGTCGCGGCCGGTAAGTGAAAACATAACACACATTGCGCACCGCGATGTCGCGCACTTTCGAGTCTCTCTCCCTCTCTCTCTCATTCCCTCATTCCGAAAGAAAAAAAGAATTCTTTGAATTTTCCTCGGATGCCCGCGTGTGCACCTGAAGAAGGTGGAAAATGCCTTTTCTTCCTTTTGCGGGGAGCACGCGAGCGGAGCGCGCGACTCCGACTTTCTATTTCGGTATTTTTATACAAGAAGAGACAAGCGCGCGGTTAACTTAACGGTGGAGAGAACGCACGCGCAAAGGTCGAACCGTCCTCCTTCATCGTCGGTTTCCGAGGAAGGATAACGCGCAAGGTGCATGTCCTCGCGATCCGGTCCGGTTGCCTTCTCCCATCCGTTCTCTGTTTACCGCCGGCTCGTCCCGCGTTTGATCTTTGATCAAAGACCGGCTGCGATCTTGATTCTTGCTACAAGATAATATCTCGTGGTTGCGCCGTGCGCGATACCAAAACTAAAGTTTTCGCAGTTCCGGGAATCAAAAGTGACCAGGTGTGTACCCGATAGAGATCCTATAAACAGTCTGGCTGCAGTAATTTCGTCAAAAACAAGAGTATCGCATGTGTGTGTGTGTGTTGTTCTATAATGAGGTTACTCGAACAATGAGTCGTTACTCGAACTTTAATTCTTAAGCCGTAAGAAATTCACCGGTCACAGAATATGAGAATATTAATCGACTGTGATCAATTTTTTACGGTTTAAAGCTTAGATAATGGCTTATGTGAAAAAAATCCATAATAAAAAGAAAGATGTGCATTGTTTCTTACGTCTATATGACATATACTGTCTCTTTTTATGTATGCTATCTTATTCTAACTTATACTATCTTATTTATAAATATGTTTAACAAGGACTCTCTCTCTTTCTCTCTCTCTCTCTCTCTTTAAAATAACAAACACAAAATTAATCCGGGCGCAATAAAATTTTAACAAATAAATTTGTTACTCCATTCGATGTGTTGATGTCTTCTTTATTTAAAATCTCGATAAATCTCGAACGTTTCGATTCTCTTTGGAATCTTCATCAACAATATTCGTAATCTATATAAGACTTCGCAAACGATCAAGGTAGAGTCACTCATAGGTTGCCAAAACTATATAATCTCATCATGAAACTTTGGATGATACTAATATTCACAATTAATCACTTTTTAATACATATTATGTAGATTTGATTGAACTCTGTCTGAGCTATCCGGAGTGGCGAGAATATAGATCATCTATCTTACTTATTCCTTACTAAAGTTGACAAAAGCTTGTCGTTTCGTGGCCAGATTTTGTTATAGAATCTCTAAAGTTGCTTTCCTTTTAAGGGGCAGTCGATACAAACGTCGTTCTATCCTTCTTGATACTTAATGAATAACAAAGATAAAGCGAACGTTACTTGTGTCAACTGTGTCTCCTAAGAAGAAACAGCTTAATTTACTGTAGGTTTCCTTTTTAGCTGAATTTCTTGTACAATTTATCTTCTCTCCTTTCTTTTCATGTCTGGAAACCCTATACTTTATACTATAACTGCTAGTCGACACAAACGTCGTTCTTTCCTTCTTGACATTCAATGAATAACAAAGATAGAACGGCATTTGTGCTGATTGTATCTCCCAAAAGGAAAACAGCCTGTCTCTTGTATCGGAAAGTACCTACGATTTTGATAGGCAATCGATCTCCGGCAAGAAGGTGGCAACCGTGATCGAAATCCGGAATTGTATCTGGCTCCGAATCTGTTTACCTACTCCTGTGTTTATCTCTCTGCGCGTGTTCTCGAGTCGTGTTTTTGTTTCGCGCGGAAGTTTCACGGAAATTTCACGGGAAGGATGGGATCGAAAATACATTACCGGTATTGTACGAGAAGGGCCTCTGTGCAAGTGCGCGACGTAATCGTAAAGCGATAATGTAAGCGGCCTCGCGCGATCAGGTTGAATTTCTGATGTTGCGCACGGCGAACTGACCCAAGGACGTGGAAACATTCACACGCGAGTGCCTTCAAATGTCAGAAGCACTTTTACCGCAGAGGATGCACCATTTTCGTGCTTCTGCTCGTCTCTTTTTAATCGATCAGACGACAAGAGAGAATTTAACCGAATCTAACGGATCCCGTCAAGCGATCGACGATCCAAGTAAACATGTGTGTTTTGGCTACCTGAAGAATAGTCGTCTCGACAAGCACCTGATTGTCATATGTTATTAATCCTTAGTAGGTGATTTTTCGATCTTTTATCGGACACGATGGGTCATTCGTGTCCCGAATTAATTTTCGTCACTTTAACAAATGTATAAACATTATTCTTACATTTTAACATTTTTAGAAAATATTTGTAAGGTGGTGCATTAGAAAAAATATAAATTCTATGTAAATATTATATTATAACTAATTACTTGATGCTTTTAATTTTTTGAAGAAAAACAATGTGCAGGACACGAATAATCGAATCGTGTATATTAAGGGTTATTTATCGTTTATTATTATATGCACAATGCTATTCCTTGAATATTGAAAAGGTTAACGTCGCGCAGATAACGTTTCGTATCGTACAAACGCCCACTCTTTGTCGTGTTCGTGACTCGTCTCTGAAATCGTTTTAAAGTACAGTGAATAATATAAAGAAAATAACCAATGGTACGATTATTCGTTAATTTCGATTTAGAATTAGCTATCTTTGTTTAACTTGCAATCGCAAATATTGACAGCGTTCAGCAGAATCTTTACTTCGCTTATTTTGTTTATTTTTCAAATCTTTATCTTGTTTATTTTTCGACTATTGACATTTTTTTCGCGCAGATTGGATTATACTTGTAGATTTGGAGGAATAATCATAGGCGTAGCCAGAACTTTATTTAAGAGAAGCGCCAAATTTGAGTTTAGACTTTTGAATGGTGTGAACTATTGAATTTTTTTGTTTTATACTGTTATTTTTAAGTAAGTACTAACAAATCACAAAATCACACGTATTTCGTTTACTAGTTTATTTTTCTCTTAAAATTGTAAACTGATTTTAGAGAAACTTAAACATTAATTATTTTACATTCTCAGAAATCTTTCTATAAAAATTTTTTATCTCCAATTCTTCTTTCTTTGTCTTCAAAATTAATTTCGTGTGAATACTCATTAAACAAAATCCGTTTAAGCAGCTTTAATTATTCTTTGAATTTAGGAGAGGAGGACCCTTCTAATTTAAAGAATATCTAATCCTTCTTAATGAAGATTAAACAGTTGCAAAATAAACATTCTGCCAAACGTGATCATTAATCGAGTGATAAATTAACAAAATTAAGATTTAATATCGAATATATT